CTTAATGTACTACTTTCCCAAGTAGTCAAAGTGGTCCCCCAGTTGCATCCACCTCAGCTACCTTCTGAATTCATTTCTTTTGAATGGCATTGTAATATAGATGGTTAGGTTTTGGTCGCTTTTTTTTTTTTTAAGCATAAGTTTGACAAATGGCTTTTACTTGTGCTTGTGAATTGGGATGCAAGCAAGCAGTTTAACTATATATTTAAAAAAAATTATTGCACCTGTCCTACCAAAGTAAAGTTCTTGTTATATAATACATTTCCTTATAGGAAAAAATAATTATAATTATATAATTAACCAACAACATACAGTTTATTTTCCTTTAGTTTCAAAATGAAATTATGAGTCTTTAAGCTTATTTTTCATAGGAATTTAAAAACTATTTCCCAGCAACCCCTAAACAAATCGGGCTGGATATTCTGTCCTTTTAATAGTTAGATGATTCAGCCTCATCATTGTCTGTGGGAAACTTTTCTGATCACAAATGTAAAGTGAAGCTTAGTGCTTCCCGTACTGGTTATACTGGTTCCTTGCCTTGCTAGGTAGGGAAGTAGCCTGGTGGGTGGGTGGAAAACCACAAGTTTCAAGTTATATCCTGCACTAAAATTTAAAAAAAGTGTACTCAAATTGGCCAGGAAAGAAATTGAGAAGAGATTATAGGAGACTTTAATCAGATACTTAAGATATATGTCTTAATAAACCTTTAGTATGTTTATTCTATATGAACATACTAGAGGAATATGTAAATTCAAATGGGAGCTAACAGGATAAAATAGGTGGCAGTAAACAAAAATGTTCAAAGGAATCAAGAAAGTACTGAAGTGAGAATTAAGACATCTGAATGAAACAAATTTGAAAACAGGTAGACATCAGCCACAAGAAGCTAAATTTGGAGATGTATAGGACTGTATAATAAATATGGACTTGAGAAGAAATTGTCATTCAAAGAAGGCAGCAGCAGACGATTAAAGGTGATAAAAGAAAAACACGTAATCTAGGGTATTACATTAGGGTAGTGAGCAGAAATTGCAAAACTATCTGCTCAATTTTCTAGAGAAGAGTTTCTGCAGGAAAAAATTAGAGGTTGCGAGTAAGCATCTACTGTGGGTCAGATATTCTATGCATACTTTCTCTTTTAGTCGTCGTGACAGGAGCATAAGTAGCAATCATAATCATCTTTACCTTTGGGGAAACTAAGGCTCAAGACACTAGCCACCTCAAACCAAAGTCACACACAGCTAGTAAGGGTGGCAGCTAAAGGAGACTTTTGTCAAACTTATGCTTTTAAAAAAAAAAAAGCGACCAAAACCTAACCATCTATATCACAATGCCATTCAAAAGAAATGAATTCAGAAGGTAGCTGAGGTGGATGCAACTGGGGGACCACTTTGACTACTCGGGAAAGTAATACATTAAGGCCGGGCGCAGTGGCTCACGCCTGTAATCCCAGCGCTTTGGGAGGCCGAAGCGGGTGGATCACGCGGTCAGGAGATCAAGACCATCCTGGCTAACAAGGTGAAACCCTGTCTCTACTAAAAATACAAAAAATTAGCCGGCCGTGGTGGCGGGCGCCTGTAGTCCCAGCTACTCGGGAGGCTGAGGCAGGATAATGGCGTGAACCCGGGAGGCGGAGCTTGCAGTGAGCCGAGATCGCACCACAGCACTCCAGCCTGGGCGACAGAGAGAGACTCCGTCTCAAAAAAAAAAAAGGAACACATTAGCGGGGATGAGAACTAAATTGCAGAAGGTGAAGGTGGCATAGAAAGAAGTGGCAGAGAAAATCAGAGGTAATGGGCACAGGCCACTCCTTTATAACAATTTTGGGAGCAAAATGCATAGTAAATTATGAATAACTATTTAATGTTGAGTTTTCTTAATATATTTTTGGGTAATATCTAGAAACACCAGTCAAATGATGGTCCTAACAAAGAGTGTGTTCGTTATCTAGGATGGCTACATTTACAAGCTCTAATTTCTCAACCGTTGTTTTTAAAATCATTCCCGTATACTGGGATAATTCTTAAGAGTTTTTTGTTTGTTTGTTTTTTGTTTTTAATGAAGGAGTTAAACTAGCACTTAATTTCCCAACATATAATCTGTTGGACTCTGTTGGAAGAACCTCCTATTATGTATTTTCTTTAAAGCCATTTTATTAACAATGACAGCAGATGACAGCACTGACACCTCCATTCAAGATGCTAATGTATTTTTGAGAGAACCCTTACATTTTTTATGATGTCTGAAAACACAAAAGGATCATCTAGGATTTTTTTTTAATGAAGAAAAGAAGGCATTATTTAATTTTAGTTTTGGAAAAACAGTTCCTATTAATTTTTGGGGGGTGGTTTCTGGCTGATGTTCCCAGAGTTAACTGAATTTTTAGTAATTTGCTATTAGTACTCACTATACTTGCTGAAGATTCTGCTAATGAATATTTTATAAAGCAGGAGGATGTTAGGTCTCAATCTGGATGACTGCCAAGTCTAAATCTCTCACCTTGATGCCGTAGCTCAGCTCCAGCCCCATGTTCTCAGCTGCCGGAGGCTAACCCCATCTTAATATCCCATCATTAACTTAAATTCAACAAGTGAAAAATCAAACTTCATATTTTATTCCTCAAATTCTTCCTGCTGACTTCCTTATTTTTGTTAATAGGCTCATTGAACTAGTGACCCACACTGAAACTTTCAATTGCAACCATAAGAGCTACTGTATTGAGAGCTTTCTATCAGGAATTATGATGGTTTAGCAAACATATGTATTTAATTATCACCAAAATCCTATGAGGTAGGTACCAGTATTATCATTCCTTTACAATGAAGAAGCTATGGCTTAGTGAGATTAGTAATTTATTTGAGGTCACTTAACTTGTGCTTGGGACAGCAGGACTCAGACCTAAGTCTGCAAACGTTCAGAGCTCGAAACTTTCAACTGCCTTTTCATATCATGTTGGAGTCACTTCTGACTCCTCCTTCCCCTTGCCTACTCATGTAGACCTTGCCCCCATAGTGTCTCATACAACTATCCTCTCCTTTCCATTTCCAATGCCACTGCCTCTTCCAGCCTCTATTACCTCTCACCTCCCCAAGAGTCTTTCTGTTCTTTTCCAACATATTCATCTTCTTAGAGTGTCCGTTCATTTATACTGTTAGCCTAATGAAAAACCTTTAATGATTACTTATTTTCTTACTCAGATACTCACAACTTCTAATCTTAGTTCTAACCACTTATCTTAATGAACACTGTGTTTTATCCAGCCCAGACTTCCTGTAATCTTCTGCCTGTTGAAATTCTAATCTCTCCTTCACAGTCTAGCTTACATTTTCTTTCCTTTCATGAAGGCTTCCACGATTCCATTAATTGGATAAAGATATTCTGGATTTTTCTTATGACAACATATTTGAGCCTATACTGTGGTCACTTGTGTACTTCTATTTTCACCCCTATATGATCCTGGTTCCTCAGGGGTTGAACTGTGTTTGCTATTATCTGTGCAGCTGGGAGTTATGTAGCACAGTGCAATGAACATAATGATAACGTTAAAAGTAAAAATGATTTTTATTGCTAGGCACTGTCAAGTTATGTGGTCAGTGTCCTCAATACGTCTTCAATCTATTAATAGTAAAGGAAACAAAACAAAAATTCAAAAGTTAGCTCGACCATGAGAATGATCAGAGGAGACAGAGAGAGCAGGAGGCAAGCAATGAATAGAGGGGGACTGAGAGAAAAGGTGAGACTTGAATGTGACCCTGAAAAGTGAAGAAAGTTGCTTAAGCGGGAGGTGGGGTGTTCTGAGGTAGGAAAGCATGAGTGAAGGCTCTGGGGCAGGGATGGGCATGGCTGGTCTGGGAAGAAGGATGGCACTGTAGGAGAAGAAAAAAATACCAGGGAAGTTCAGGGTGTTTCAAAGTAAAAGAATTCCTTCAAATTTATAATGTCATTTCTTTCAAAATTTCTCATGATAAGGTTCTGTGTGAGAATTTCTTTAAAAATTTCTCATAATAAGGTTCTGTGTGATAACTAGCTTCTCCCAAGTTAGTTGCAATGAGTGAGTTTTTACTGTGTATTCTTATACTGCTATATAGTTGCTAGAATTCATCATTGAGTATCTGAATTACAGTGCGTGGCAATATGCTGGCAAACTGCTCTCTTTTTTGTTTTTTAACTGCCATCATGTTTTGCAGTTTCGATTCTCAACACAGCCTGGGGAAGATGGTAAGAAATTATCTCGTGGATTAGAATTTAGAACTCTGAAACAGTCATTGTTACAATAGACTTTCTATATGTTAAAGAAGTTTCTTCATTTTGATTTATTCATACAAAGTTGTGATATGATTACCCCCGCTGTCGTTCCATGAAGGTAGATGTTCACAAATGTGTCATGAAAATATGAAGCTCATTTACTTATTATACTTGTAATCTAATCCAGATTGAAAACTGGTCTGTGGAGATTGACAAATATTGGTTGTGATAAATTATTACATAGACATATTCCCACTAATGCACTAACAGGAAAAAAAATAGTGGAAATTGACAAATTCATTTGGAATAATCACTTTAAAAGCCAGACAATAGCAGAAAGAAAGGGATTTTAAAAGTATCAATTTTTTACTATATGTCGTTTTTGGGGGAAAAGTAAGACACCAAAACATTTTAAAATGAAAGCATTGACTGGTGTTCCATTCGCTAAACTCTTTTTGATATGAATGACAAATTATTTTTTCCTTAAGACTACAGCATTGCTAATTTTCTCCATATGTGTACAATTTGTCTTTGACCTTTAATAAATGTCCTCTAGGCTGTCCACTTACCATCCAAGAACAACGCCACAACATCATTTTACTTGCACACAAAGACTTGAAAGCTTCATAAAAATAAATGATCCGTGGCATAAGATACATTAACCAGCAGAATAATAAGCTATTTCAGCCTTGTAAATTTTAGCGCCCATCTATTCAAATCCTCACTGGGTCACTTTAGTATTAAATTGATATGAGTAAAATGGTAAATACACATGCTTTATTTGTTAAGGTGCCAGCTATATATTTTGTGAAAAAGTTTGTTAGCTCAGGATATTTAAAAACGATGTCTCTTTCCAATAAATGATTTTATGTGTTACAGACACATTTAGTATTAAGCATCATGTATATTTAATATCACAATGTCTACTTCAGTGCCCCAAAAAGCCTTTATTCACTTTATAGTTTCCATTACTGAAGAGCCAACATTCAGTTCTCCCACAGTTGTGTAAAGTGCAGGCAAGCCACAAGAGCTTCTAGTTTTAGCTTGCAGCCCGTGGGACCACGATAATTGTTATGAAGCCATTAATTCTACCTCAGCAGTTTCAACTGTCAGGTACATGTAACAATAATTGCACTTAATGAATGCTGCTCAATTTATTAAGTACAAAATGAAAACCAGTATTCTTTTATACGCAGCACTGAGGCATATTATTTATCATTTGTGTGTACCCATGTTGAATATTCTGCTATCATTTATTGGCCAGGGTATATAGCCATAGTTTTTCTAAAGCTTTTCTTTATTAAAAACCAATGCAGGAAATTGTAACTCTCTAATTAAAGAATAATTAAAATAATTAGTACCAAAACAAATATTTAATAAGAATCTATGTCTATGGAAAACAATCCAGCAAAACCAAGACCAAGTTCCTGCTTTAGAAAAACAAGATTCTTTCTGTGCTACCCTCCCCGCCCCCAATCTTTACTAGAATATGAAAAAATTCAAAAGCTTCCAGTTGCTTGAAATATCAGTGTTGTTTCTTTCTCAAAGTTTTTGGCAGTAAAACTTTTGTATACAGACATACAGTCTGCCTCAGGATTTTCAAAAGTAAGAGCTAGATTTCTTATTTTCAGTCACTCAAGGTAAACTGCATAGACATTTGCAAGAGCGAAAAGAGAAGAATTTCTGAAAACGTAAGATGAAAAGGTATCATTTTTAGGATCCCAGAGGCATCTGCTTCCAATAAGTATGCTCTGCCTGTTCAGTTGTCCAATGTGAACAATGACAATTAGTTTATATCGTGGAATCATCAAGTCCTTGACCCGGGCTTTAATAACCTAGAAATGTAAAAAAAGGGAGGGTCTTCATTTAGCTACATTGAAACTCAAAAGTATTAACCTTTGTTATAAATATAGGGGATTTAATTTAATAGCATGATATATTGTAGATACTTTGAGTAATTGTTGTAGAACCATAACTATGATTCCCTTCAAGCATGGTCCTCTTGAGATAGAACATTCAGGGACAAAATCATAACACCAGCAATAAATCTACCTTTTCTAAGATACACGAAATAATTATAATCCAGAGCACAGAATTTAATAAATTACATTCTTTGAAAATTTATGTTAAGATGGCTTCATGTCAAAGAATGTTGGCATTGGAGTTACACTGTCTTATTCATGTCTAATTAAGGAACCATACATCTGGAGTCTCCTGTAATATAACTAATCATTAATGTTTATTAAAGAGTTTGTTATAAAAAAGAGAGTAGAGAAAACCTTGATGAAGTTCCAGCCCTGGGGTTGGTAAAAATAGAAACGTGCTTAAAGTCTGTATTTGACGGCACTCAAAGAAGCTGCCTTAGTGAAGAGAAAACAATCATTGAAATGTTGTATCTTTTATAATAAACACTTTTATAAATGGGGCAGTTTTATACACTTTTACATAATGCACGCAAATGATGCACATGATTGTTTTAGACAAAGGTTTTATGTATACACACACGCGCGCGCACACACACACACACTCATATATGTAGAATATGACCTAATTATAAATATGCATTTTAACTGTTACTGCAAATTAATTCCCCTCATCAAAAAAGTAGAGGGTTCATTGCACTGTAGCAAATATTCTAGCCAATGTTAACACTTTGGGCAAATCACACATGTACCTCAGAAATGGTTTTAGTCATCTGTCTACAGAGCTCTGGTTCATATTCTTCTACTTGTAGATAGCTGGTTAACACATCTTTCAAAATATGATTGACAATGATCGCAGGAAAATGTTTGGGAGGACCTGAAAATACACATAAAATTTATTTCTAAAAAGTCATTTCAAATCATACCCACCCACCCCATAGGCTAATCAAAAGAGTATTGAAACATGGAGGGATTTAATCTTCTGGGCGGACTCTATTAAAAGAAACAAGTGGCTCTAATTAGATTTCCTGTCAAGTGCTCTGGGACAAGAAGACAATATTTTCATACATTTACCTGACCATCTCAAAAGTGTGTTCAATATTGCTGGGGTTTGACCTTGAAAGTCTCTTCCTTCCCAGGCCCCATTGTTAGGGATATACTTCAAAGTCTCAACAGCTTTCTAACTGGCTCTCTGCCTCTTGTATCTCCTGCTCCAATCTATCTACCAGATCTTAAGTGATATTCCCCTTAGCGAGGTCTAAGTTGTGGTTCCCTATGGCCCCTTCTTCCGCTACCACAGTGCCCCACTTGCAGACTGCTCCAGCCTCACAGGCTTCATCTGCCTATAAAGGTGCTCCTGTGTCTTTACTCTTGCTCTTTCGTTTTCAAATGGAATACCTTTCCCCATCTTGTTCATCTGAGAAACAGCCACTCATGTTTCAAGACCATCTCAAATGTCTTCTTCTCCAGGTAGCACTCTATCTCCTGTCAGGTAAAAATGTCCCTCCTTTGGGACAATGTCCCTCCTTTCCATGCACTGGGTCCCCACTGCCATCCTGGCTCCTAATCCACTTGATGTTGGCTAAAGCATACATGTGTTTCCAGTTATATGGTAAGCAAGCTCGGATTTTATCCTCCTCAGAGTCTAATACAATGCTAAAGGCATAAGAAATTTTTAATGTATGATTTCTGAATTTAAATAGAATTACAAATTTTATAGATAATAATCACTATATATGATATATGATTATATATTGTATACATATATAATAATGAATACTTTTTATTAAGCTTTTGCTGCATGTCAGGCAGTGTGATAAGCACTTTATATTACCTTATATAGTCTTCCAATAGATCTCTGAGGTGAATCTCACTGTTATCTCCATTTGGCAGGTGGGGAAACAGAGATTTAAATACATTGAGTAACCTGCCCAGAATCACACACAGAGGCAGAGCTGGGCTGCACACCCAGGTTTATCTGATGCTAGAGCTTATATTCTCAACCACACTTCATCCACGTTCAGAGGAGAAGCTTCAGATGAATCTTCTTTATCCTGCATCCCAGGAATATTAGCCATATCATCACTTTGGTCATATACTAATGTCATTGCATGACATGAACATGTGCCCGGGGCCTGGCATAGAGAAGTCCAATCATTATTTGTTGAATTGATAAAGATGAAGGAATGAGATCAAGAATTTCTATTCAATTCTCTTTTAATAGTTGTCCATATCTATTTATAAGTGTTTGTTTGGGATGACTGTATCTGTCAGAGTCAAAGGAAACATATGGCACCCTATAGTTAAAATAATTCCAGGAAGAAGTTCTGAGTGGGATGTAGAAAATCACAAGGGATAGTGCAGTAGCTCTCAGCCAGTGAAAGTAACGTTGTCAGCCCACCCCCAACCCCAAGATTGGGGAATAGAGGAAGAGTTTTTAATAGATCCCAGAAGGGTGGTGTGGAGAGGGTTCCCCTGGGAGCAGTTTCTGTCCTTTGGTTGAGGAATGTAACCAGGCTGTGATGAACTCACAGGCAGGAGCCAGGGAAATAAACAGCTCCACCTCACACTTCTCTGCCTCTCTGCTGAGGTTTCCCACTGGCGGAACTTAACCAGAAGGTTATAGCCCTCTGACTGCAGTGCAGTTAGGTGAGCCTCTTGAGGTTCTATAAATGGTATTTTTATTTTCATGATAATATAGAAATTGTTGAATTCCATTTAAATCATGGCAGGGTAGGGGTGGAGAATGAATCTGGATAGGTGAAGTGGTTCTTAGAGATCGCCCCATCACCTCCTGCAAACCCAAGCCTAGGGCATGGTTGATTGACCCAGGGGTAACAATGCTCTGGGCCAGGACAATGAGAGTCTTTTCTTGGAATTTTTATTTTAAACTGCAAGTAGGAAAAAAGAGTCAGCCTCTTTCTGGTAGCAAAAGTTATCATGTGACTCTAAGGACCTGCTGGAGGCCATGTTTTTCATGGTGGAAAGGAGGCCAGGCCACCCAAACAGAAGAAAGTGCATACAGGTTAGTGCTGGAAAGAGGGTCCTGGTGGCACTTGAGTCTGTTTCCAGTAGTTCCATTGTACAGTGCTACCAATGTCCTTTCCACACTTTGCTTGGATTAAAAAAAAAAAGTCATTAACCAGATTCTGTTTTGAAAATACTTTGAAATATGGTAATAAAATATTCTTTTCTTACTTCTTTGTTACCTTTCCCCTAAACATCCAGAATCATCCATCAATGTTCAGCTTTTGACTTCTGAAATAAGCTCCTAAAACTACTTTCAGAGTCAACTGATGTGAATGGCAAAGCTTTTCTTCTTTTTTGAGATTTTTTTTCCTTAGGAGGAAAAAACATGTTTTAGAAATCAAAAGGCAAAGACCTGAAGGATCCGGACAAAAAAAATTTTAAAAACAAACAAAACCTGTCCTTACAAATTAAAGATAAGGTTACTTAATGTATGTGGGCCTCCACTACCCCAAATTGGGGTAATAATAAGAATTACTACATATTTTTTTTTGTTAGAATTAAATGAGACAATATATTGAATATATTTAGAACAGTACTTGTCACACAATAAAACACTCCTTAGATATGTGATCTTATTAGTGTTATTGCTGTTATTGTAGTTATTGCATGTTGAAGGAAGAATTGGGGATTTACCTTGCTGAGAAGGTAGCAAGATGAAAGAGGATGTAAGTTGGGAGACAGTGAGGCCTGCAGGGTTGGGAAGGCCCCCATGGGGTGGTACAAAATCAATGCTGAGAGATTGACAGGGTCTAAGAAAACCTGACATAGAGACAGGGCCTAAGCACTTCATGGAAGCTGAACTCAAATAATCTCTCTCTCTCAGTATTTTGAATCTACTTTCCACTGTGCTGGCTTCATTCTCAAGGCAGGCTGTCTTGATGTAGTAGCAAAGATGGCCACCAATAGTTCTAGTCTGGCCTGGTGCTCGCAGTTCGTGTTTGTAAACAACCAGGTGCCACTATACTCATAGTTTCAGAAAAAGTCTTGTGGAAAACTTATTCCATAATTAACATGAAGTTACAATGAATATCATGGAAGGTTTTTATTCTTAGTGATCTATAGTAAGGTCCTCGAGTCAGTCACATTCAGGAGTAGTAACATGATGAATGGAGAGATTTAAACATATTACATCATTTGATGTAATTACCTAGCATCCCTATGATGTATAGACTATTATCCCTATTTATAAGTGAAGAAACTGAGATTCAATGATGCTAAATACCTTGCTCAAGGAATTAGCAAAATTAGTATTCAAATTCAGATATGACAGATGCTACAGCCTGCATTTTCTTTGATATTTGTTTTAGTAATTAATGAGGAGTATGTAAATGGTATTTTATTATAAGAAACACAGTTTCCTTTTCTATTCCCTTTTTTTCTTTCATGAATTTTACTCATGTTTCATCTCATTTTTTTAGCTGTAATTATTTACATAAATGCTCTCATTTAAGATGTGTTTAGATGATGCAAACCTTATCAAACAGAATGAAAAATTAATTAAACATAATAGTGCTGGTGATATTGGCTGATATTTCCTTCCACTTTTCTGGCCAGTATTACATTGTAAAGATATGATAAACTCTTTACCAAAGTCCCACTGATATAGTTTGGATATTTGTCCCCTTCAAATCTCATATTGAAATGCGATCCCCAGTGTTGGAGGTGGGGCGTGGTGGGAGGTGTTGGGGCCAGGAAGGTAGATCCCTCATGAATGGCTTGGTGCTGTCCCAGTGGTAGTAACTGAGTTCTTGCTCTATAGTTCTCCCTCTATTAGGTCACATGAGAACTGGGTGTTTAAAACAGCCTGGCCTCTCTCTTGTTCCCTCTCTTGCCATGTGACACACCAACTCTCCTTCCCTTCTGCCATGTCTAAAAGCTTACTGAGGTCTTACCAGAAGCAGATGTTGGCACCACGCTTCCTGTATAGTCTCTAGAACCATGAGCTAAATAAACCTCTTTTCTTTATAAATTACAGTCTCAGGTATTTCTTTATAGCAATGCAAAATGGACTAATACATCCACAAAATACCTTTATTATGTTAAATAAACCCAGAAACAAGTAGAAGTGGAAATACAGTTTTGATTAAGTATTATTAAAATGGATGGTTGAATGCTTTAAAAAGTGAATTGTCAAGCATAAAATACTTTAATTATTTAAAAAATCACATAGACTATTGTAGGAAAATATGGGTGTATTTCATCTATACTAAGCTTTTTCTAAAATTACTTTTCTAATATGGTTCATACTCAGTACTTCTAAAACTGATAAGATACTTTATTTGAGAAAACAAGTTGCAAAAAATATCCTTATGTAGAAACATAGGGATTCACATTTCACCTGCCTCATCTTGTTGAAATCTGATTCAAACCCTTCCAGCATGCACAGCTCAAAGTCATAGACACCTTATGGCTAAGAACTTTTAGTTGCAAGTGAGGGAAAACCTGACCCAAACTTAGCTTGCCTAACTGAAAATTTAAAGGGTAGTCAACTGGATTTAGGACTCAAATGATGCCATCAGGATTCTGTTGTTCTCTCTGAGTTTCAAGTCAGGGCAAGACGGCAGACACTGCCAGAGCTCCTATATTCCTTCAAGTTTCAGGGCTTTATGTTCTTCTGCAACAGGCCAAACAACATTTTCTGAATTTAATCTCAAAGGCTTTGATTGGATTGACCATGGTTATATGCCATCCTAGAATCAGTCACTGCTCTATCTATAAAGCCAGTGCCAGCTTCATCAGAATGCTAGGATCAAAAGTGGTGACAATGGTGGAATTTCAAAGGAAATTTACTAAAGTTACCAGAGAAGTATAAAAGTATATTGGATGGCAGGAATATTAGCTGTCGGCCACAGGCACTGTGAAAATACCAGTAGATTGGCTAATTATGGAGCCGTGTAATCTATGTAGTCTTGGGGATTCCTGTAGAAAACTGGCTACAAGGCCGAAGGGGACATGCTGATGGTCTATACTTTTCTTCGGGGTTAACTGGCCACACATGGAATCACCTTGGCCCATAGAGTCTTCCTTTGCCCCTTGGTAAATCTCTGTGGAATTTCTATATAGCAGTAATTATATATGAATTCAGATAATAGTGGGCAGGTACGCGTTTAGAGAAAACAAGTGGGTCTATGAGGAAACATGGGTGGGAAAAGATATTTGCCGTGGACTCCACTTGGGAGTATAGGGGCAGGTGCAAAGATCTTTGTTTTCAAAGACTCAAAACCTCAGTGGTAATGGATAAACATCTCTGTCAACAGGGGACTATGAGTCATTTACCTTTGCTTTGAGTTTTTTTTTTTTCCTTCACCTATTAACAACACTGATTGGTTTTGTTGGCTAAAACATCAATACTTATCTCTTTCATTTAAGTCATATCTCTCTATGTACCCAGAAATACTCAGTGAATTTGTTAAGTCAGTAGTATGCTGTATATATCAGTGCCACCCAGTGAATTGCTTGGCATTTGGGAAACATTAGTAAAGAAAAGTAAGACAGCGGGTGTTGCTACCATTCTGCTGAGGAAGAAACTAAAGCAACATCAAATCACTCAATTCATTAAAGTCCCTTATATTGTGCTAGAATTGAAGACAATGCCAGGTTATCAAATATCATTTTTAAAAGCATCAGTCACCAGTTTAGAAGTTTAAAATAGGAGTGAGAGATAAAAGAACACACCCAACTGATAGGTGTTTTCCATCTGAACTGTAAGGCGAGAGACATCATCACGCTGACTAGGTTCATCCATGTAAGACACGGTACTCGTAGAACTAAAAACAAGGGAGAAAACGAATTTTAGTCATTATTATAACAATAACAACAAAATACAATATTGCTTTAAGCTAAAATGTTACAAAGATGAAGTTTTGTCAGAAAATTTCAAGTAAGTCCTATGTAAATATCCCAGTGGTATATGGAAAGTCTAAAACATTTTAGAAATGGAAATATTAAGATGCAAAGGAGGTATTTGGAGAAGGCCTCAATGTGATGGCTGAAGCCCAGGGCAGTTACTCAGGTCATCAAATTATCCAGAAAGTGATCCTGGGTTGATGTATGTGTATGGGGTAACAGAACATACTTCAAAATCCATTGCCAATCGTGTCTCTACCACTGATATAAAGCCTCTCCTCAAAGTAGACAAAGCTCACAAACAGGGCTGGGAGACATATGAGGAAGCTTAAAATGTTGGGAAACAACTCTATATACACATGGAGTATTATAAAGGGTTCACTATTATATGGAGTTCACAAAATCCCTTTAGTATGGAAAAGAAAAATGAGAAACTCATCTATGTGGTAAAGGAAACCACAATTCACCAAAACCATAATAAATTAATAAGCATCAATCACCCTTTTCAACATTAAAAAAGGGTTTTGCTTTCATTATCAAGGCAATATGAGCTTATCCTGGTGCTAAACAGGAGACCCAAGCAAAGAGGAGCCCCCAGTGTCTCTCTGGCACTACTTAATTCAATTTAGTTCAGAGGAAATTCAGCTGCAACTAATGACAGTCTCAGAACTCTGCACCCTCAATTTTCTCCACCTGTGAAAATGAACGTTAAGACAGATGTCATTTCAAAGGAGAGGATATAATAGCATGTGTGTGTGTGTGTGTGTGTGTGTGTGTGTGTGTGTGTGTTCAGAGTGACCACTTTTCTAAGCAGGCTATGTTTTTGATTTAATTAAATAAAAAAGAGATACTTGCTCTTAATCTTTGGGGATCTTTTCTCTTGCAAGGAATTTAAAATGCTTAGTTCTACACCGTGTGGAATTAATGAACTTCTTACAAATTGATATTTTAAGAAAATCACGAGTAATCTATTTTTAAAAATCCTTTAATGCAATACAACTTACATGATAAATTAGGGTTTACCCACTCAGTGCAAGAAAATGATGGAAGAAATTCTGGCTGCTTTTTTCATGGTGGATTTCTGGATGAGTGACTTAGTCTTTATTCTTATAACACCTGCCTTCCTCAATTTACTGCTGCCCTTTGAAGTAGCAACCAACCTGTTTGGCCACACTGGCTGCAGGTGCTGTGGGCAATACCAAAGACTATTACTGCTGCTTAAAAAACCCAATGTTACATAAATCCCTTGATTCTAAGATAAGTCAGTCTGTCCCATTACTATATGTGCTACTTTTAACTTTGGAAAACATTTCCCATGAATTATCTCATTTTACTTTCACAATATCCTCTGAGGAAAGTAAAAGATTCATTATTCTACCCATTTCAGAGATAAAGGGAATGAGGCAAAGGGCTTAATGTTCATGTATAAAAGGCAGACAGATTTCAAATGTCCTGTTTACCTCTTAGTGACAAAGTCCCAAGTATGATTATAACTGACAGAATGAAAATAGGGGCAATGAAATAATTAATCACTGCAATTAAAACTTACTTGCACAAACATACAGAAGGTATTCATAAAAATTTCTTTTCTACTGGACACCATATTAAAAATTCATGGAGAAGAAGAGGTGGTGCAAAACTCAAATTAGCTGGAGTGAAAAGTCCAAGACAATAAAAGCAAATAAGGATTTTGATAAACTGTTTTCACTATCAGTTACTGAAGATTGACAATCAGTGCACTTAATATTATTATCATTATGAAACTGGTAAATGTCATAAGGGCAGCTTAAAAACCCAACTGGTTGAAGATTGGTGCGCACACAGAAAGTTTTGCAGATTGACTTTTTTTAAGTTATTGAAGATGAATTTGTTCAGTGCCCTTTTATTTCCACAGTAATCATGTAAACAGTGTATGCTCATTTTAAAAATTCAAAACATACAGAAAAACGTAGAGAAGAAAGTAAAATTATGCAAAATGTATTAACCCCAGTGGTTCTCTAACCCCTGTCAACATTAAGAAAATCACTTCAGACATTTGATTTTACCTAGGGGCTCATATTAGAGATGCTTTTAAGTAAATTTAAAATGTATCATAGATTACTTTCCATGTCAATAAATAGCAAACCATACTTTAAATTTCAAGACAGTACTTAATATATGCACATTCTGGGTTTCATTTAACCATTTATACTCCATGCCTTTTAGGCTATTTCCAATATTCTACTATTATAAAGAAAATTATAATGAACATTGTGTCAGGGACTCTTATTTACTTTCTAAAGTTATTCTTTCCTTCTTCCTCGGTAGCAGAATCCTACATTTGTAGGACTATTCCTCTGCAGACTAACAACAAATTCTCAGTCTCTTTTTGTGCTATTGTGGCCTATGTGGCTTACGAGTCAATGAGATGTAAGTGGAACTGTTGTGTGGAAATTCTGAGAGGTTCCTCAAAAGAACTAATGCAGCCTATAGGAGCCTGTTTTGACCCTTCTTGGTGACTGGAATGTGGATATTCCAGAACTCAGCACTATCTTGGGTCTTGAGATGACCTTGTAGATCACAGATAAGAAAGAAGCCTCTGAACTTCCTCTCTTCAGACTTATTTTATGTAAGAGAAAAATAAATTTCTATTTTGTTTAAACTCATGTTTATTATTATATGCAGTAGTAGATCTAACTGATAGAAAGTCTAATACAGAGTTTGCTACCTGGAAGTGGGATGCTACAAGTAATCAATAAATCATACAACTTGGGGCTGGCAGTGGTGGCTCATGCCTACAATCCCAGCACTTTGGGAGGCAGAGGTGAGCAGACCACTTGAGGCCAGGAGTTCAAGACCAGCCTCGGTAACATGGCAAAACCCCATCTCTACTAAAAATATATTTTTAAAAATTAGCTGGGTATGGTGGCACACACCTGAGATCCCAGCTACTTGGGAGGCTGAGGCACAAGCACGGCTTGAACCCGGAAGGTGGAGATTGCAGTGAGCCGAGATCATTCCATTGCACGCCAGCCTAGGCAACAGAGCAAGACTCTGTTTCAAAAAACAAAACAAAACAAAAACCAGTAAAACCCATAAAACTTGGAATGAGTTTTAGAAAGGAACTAGGGCTTTGAGGAGTAAATTTTCAATATTTTGCTGGAAATCTGGTAATTATTTTTAGAAAACTATTATTTTAGGTTAGGGGGTACATGTGAAGGTTTGTTATATAGGTGAACTTGTGTCCGGGACTTTGTTTTACAGATTATTTCATCACTCAGGTATTAAGCCCAGTACCCTATAGTTATCTTTTCTGCTCCTCTCCCTCCTCCCACCCTCAACCCTCACGTAGGCCCCAGTATTTGTCGTTCCCCTCTTTGTGTTCGTGAATTCTCATCATTTATCTCCCACCGATAAGTGAAGACATGTGAAGCCTGGAAATTCTTATCCTCCAGAGGGAAAATAATTAGTCTATTGCTTTCTGTGCCTTGGAAGGCTGACTGTGCATCAGTTAAGACTACAATGTCATAAAAAATTACAGGAAAAGTTTATTTTTTAAAACCTGTGTTTACGGCGTTATAAAAAGCTGAGATCTGATAGTTCCCACATTAGAATGAATGGGTTAGAAAAAGGGAGAGAGTGAAAAAGAAGAAAAAAGTTGAATAGAAAAAAATAAGATATTGATTCCTTGAGAAAAGACAAAAGGAAGAGAGAAAATATTTAAAATACTTGCGGTTATTGGCAAACAGCATTAAACCAGAATATGGGCTTGGTAAATTTTTAGAAATAAAACAGTTTTATGTTTTAAAATTGGGGAATTGCCAATATCAATTCAGAATACTGGTTTAGAAAAACCTGGGCATATTTTCTATTGATAAACAGCTTCACTCAATGAAATCTTTAAAGATTAATATGTGAGACACCCAAAAAGTAAATTTATAATTTTAATTACCAGTGCTATATACCTGGCACAATACATTTTTGGGGTATATATCACAACTTTACAAATGGATGGGTTTCAGTTGTCTATCATCAGACTTTCCCTAGTTTACAATGACAACCCTTCTAGACACGTCATCTCACTGCAAAGTGAATGCTATAGTTTTCTTTTTTAAATATAAAAAATGTTCTTGCTGTCTCTGTGTTTTACCAGCTTGTTGGCATTTATGGAGAAAAAAATTCAATTGGCAAAATGTGTCCCAGAGAGTTATAAAGTTTTAGAAAGAAAGGTAGATGAAAAGTAATGCAATAAAAGAAAGTCTGGCCAAAACCACTGGTGAGAACACTTAACAAATTAACTAATATTATTGCAGATGGAAGAGTAACAACTTGTAATTCAATGAAAAATTCAGTGAATATCTGAAACCACATGTGCTATTGCTGAAAACAGACAGCCTGCATACAGAAGTAGCTGTATGAAATTGGTCCAAAATAACAAAAATAATCCTCTTTATATGTACCTGACTGACACTGGAAATCCACCATGCTAACCCAACAGTATGCATTCTGATTATTTGCAGGAAAAAGACAAAAAAAGAAAAAGTTAAGAAGTTAGAGCCTGTAGTCCCAGCTGCTTGAGAGCCTGAGGCTGGAGAATTACTTGAAACTGGGAGGCGGAGGTTGCAGTGAGCTGAGATCACGCCACTGCACTCCAGCCTGGGCAACAGAGCAAGATTCCATCTCAAAAAACAAAAACAAAAACCAAAAAAACACCAAAGGAAAAAAAAGAAAAGAAAAGAAGTTAGAACATATTTACTCTTTAATGAAATTCATTTTTTCTTAAGAACATCTTGCAAATTTGCTTGCTGACCAGTCTTTGAATTACATAGATAAACACAAGGCATGTCTTTTTATTATGACTGCTAGAGATGGTAACAGTAATTTCAGTTAATTCTCATCAGCCACAATAGCATTTAATTAGTATTGAGAACTCATTTCCAGA